ACAAGTAAATATCTTGGTCACTTGTCCAAATGGACAAGTAGGAAAACAAGAGGCCCATGGGCCTTATAGGTCACCTGAGCATTATGCAACAACTTTCCAGTGATTGAATTTGATTCATGTTTTAAGCCAGATGCTATGGCATTCACAATTTTTAAAGAGGCACCATTGATCATCATAACAATACACTTAGCAGTTGCTTAGTTTGTTTACTTAATACCCATATGCAGGGTAGGGGAACAAAAAATGCATTTCAACTAATGAGTAATATTCAGAAATAATCAGTAGTGCCCCTACCACACATGAACCCCTGACCCTTAGGCCTTGATATCTGATTAATACCAAGGAGCAGATTTCAAACCATTTATTCATTTTCAGTATATAAGTACAGCTCCCCCCCCCCCTCTATGGTACCCCTGACCCTGGGGCCTTGAAATTCACAATTCTGGAATATTTGGGCCCTTGTCCGTCATAACTATATAGGTAGTTCATCTGCTTAATACCCTGGAGAAGAAAATTTTCAAAGATTTAATGTATTTTCACTATATAATCTAACACAAGAAACCCTGACCCTGGGGCCATAAAATTCACAATTTTGGAAGAGGCATTCTTGCTCATCATAACGATGTACTTAGTTAGTTTATTTAATTCCTAGGAGCAGAGAAGAAGATTTTCAAAGAATTCATGTATTTTCACTATATAATCAATAGAGCCCCACCCTAACACCAGAACCCCTGACCCTGGGGCCATAAAATTCACAATTTTGGTAGAGGCACTCTTGCTCATCTTAACTATGCACTTAGCTAGTTTATTTAATACCTAGGAGCAGAGAAGAAGATTTTCAAAGAATTCATGTATTTTCACTATATAATCTATAGAGCCCCGTCCTAACACCAGAACCCCTGACCCTGGGGTCATAAAATTCAAATTTTTGGTAGAGGCACTCTTGCTCATCATAACTATACACTTAGTTAGTTTATTTAATACCTAGGAGCAGAGAAGATTTTCAAAGAATTCATGTATTTTCACTGTATAATCTATAGAGCCCCACCCTAGCAATAGAACCCCTGACCCTGGGGCCATAAAATTGACAATTTTGGTAGAGGCACTCTTGCTCATCATAACTATGCACTTAGTTAGTTTATTTAATACCCAGGAGCAGAGAAGAAGATTTTCAAAGAATTCATGTTTTTTCACCATATAATCAATAGAGCCACGCCCTAACACCAGAACCCCTGACCCTGGGGCCATAAAATTCACAATTTTGGAAGAGGCATTCTTGCTCATCATAACGATGTACTTAGTTAGTTTATTTAATTCCTAGGAGCAGAGAAGAAGATTTTCAAAGAATTCATGTATTTTCACTATATAATCAATAGAGCCCCACCCTAACACCAGAACCCCTGACCCTGGGGCCATAAAATTCACAATTTTGGTAGAGGCACTCTTGCTCATCTTAACTATGCACTTTGCTAGTTTATTTAATACCTAGGAGCAGAGAAGAAGATTTTCAAAGAATTCATGTATTTTCACTATATAATCTATAGAGCCCCGTCCTAACACCAGAACCCCTGACCCTGGGGCCATAAAATTCAAATTTTTGGTAGAGGCACTCTTGCTCATCATAACTATGCACTTAGTTAGTTTATTTAATACCTAGGAGCAGAGAAGATTTTCAAAGAATTCATGTATTTTCACTGTATAATCTATAGAGCCCCACCCTAGCAATAGAACCCCCGACCCTGGGGCCATAAAATTCACAATTTTGGTAGAGGCACTCTTGCTCATCATAACTATGCACTTAGTTAGTTTATTTAATACCCAGGAGCAGAGAAGAAGATTTTCAAAGAATTCATGTTTTTTCACTATATAATCAATAGAACCACACCCTAACACCAGAATCCCCAGCCCTGGGGCCATAAAATTCACAATTTTGGTAGAGGCACTCTTGCTCATCATAACTATGCACTTAGTTAGTTTATTTAATACCCAGGAGCAGAGAAGAAGATTTTCAAAGAAATAATGCATTTTCACTACCTACTTATTTAGCCCCGCCCTAGCACCAGAACCCCTGACCCCAGGGCCATGAATTTCACAATTTTGGTAGAGGACTCATTGCTGATTACAATCATGCAACAGTTTGACTGCTTGATGTCCAGGAGTAAAGAAGAAGATTTTTAAAGATTGCATTTATTTTAGTGGTTTTGGCCCCACCCCTCAGGCCCCAGGGGGGCAGGGATCATGAAATTCACAATTTTTGCTCCCCTTCACCCATAGATGCTTTGTGTCAAATTTGGTTGAAATTGGTTCAGTGGTTGCAGAGAAGAAGCTGAAAATGTTCAAATGTTAACGCACGACGCACAACGCACGACGACGGACGAAAACGGATAGCAATAGGTCACCTGAGTTTACTCAGGTGACCTAAAAAGTTAATGTCGAGCCCTGACAAGAAGTATAGTAACCGTTCTTAGAAATACCATTTAGCATTTCTATTCTTATTATTATATGTACATGTATATAAATAAAATATATTTCTGATTGAAAATACTTCAAGTAATTTTTTAATGCACAAATTCGCTAAAACAAAATGTGCAGTTAAGAAATAAAGACAATTACATGGGTGTGCATTGAAACCTGCAGTTCTGGTATTGAAAACAAGAGGCCCAGGGGCCACATCGCTCACCTGAGCAATTGGCTAGGAAAAAACACAGATCAGATCAGAACTGAAAGTAAACTGGGTGGGGGGGGGGGTGGCTTGAATTTTACAACCCCCCTAGGGGCTCATGATTTGAACAAACTTGAATCTACACTACCTGAGGATGATTCCCAATAAATATAACGAAGCCTGGCTTTGAAGTACTTGAAAAGAAGATTTTAAAAGGTTTCCCTATGATCCTATGTAAAACTTTCATCGGCCGTTTTGGCCCCACCCTACCCCCGGGGGTCATGATTTGAACAAACTTGAATCTACACTACCTGAGGATGATTCCACATGCGTTTCATCTTTCCTGGCCCAGTGGTTCTTGATAAGAAGATTTTTAAAGATTTTTCCTACATATTCCTTTGTAAAACCTAGATCGGACATTTTGGCCCCACCCAACCCCCGGGGGTCATGATTTGAACAAACTTGAATCTACACTACCTGAGGATGATTCCACATGCGTTTCATCTTTCCTGGCCCAGTGGTTCTTGATAAGAAGATTTTTAAAGATTTTCCCTATATATTCCTATGTAAAACTTTGATCGGCCATTTTGGCCCCACCCTACCTCCGGGGGGCATGATATGAACAAACTTGAGTCTACACTACCTGAGGATGATTCCACATGAGTTTCATCTTTCCTGACCCAAAGGTTCTTGAGAAGAAGATTTTTAAAGATTTTCCCTATATATTCCTATGTAAAACTTTGATCGGCCGTTTTGGCCCCACCCTACCCCCGGGGGTCATGATTTGAACAAACTTGAATCTACACTACCTGAGGATGATTCCATATCAGTTTCATCTTTCCTGGCCCAGTGGTTCTTGAGAAGAAGATTTTTAAAGATTTTCCCTATATATTCCTATGTAAAACTTTGATCGGCCATTTTGGCCCCACCCTACCCCCGGGGGTCATGATTTGAACAAACTTGAATCTACACTACCTGAGGATGATTCCACATCAGTTTCATCTTTCCTGGCCCAGTGGTTCTTGAGAAGAAGATTTTTAAAGATTTTCCCTATATATTCCTATGTAAAACTTTGATCGGCCATTTTGGCCCCACCCTACCCCCGGGGGTCATGATTTGAACAAACTTGAATCTACACTACCTGAGGATGATTCCACATCAGTTTCATCTTTCCTGGCCCAGTGGTTCTTGAGAAGAAGATTTTTTAAAAATGTCATTAATTTTTCTCTAATTCATAATTATCTCCCCTTGGAAAAGGGCCTGGCCCTTCATTTGAACAAACTTGAATCCCCTTCACCCAAGGATACTTTGTACCAAGTTTGGTTGAAATTGGTCCAGTGGTTCTTGAGAAGAAGATGAAAATGTGAAAAGTTTACGACGACAACAACGACAACAACGACAACGACAACGACAGACAACGGACAAATTTTGATCAGAAAAGCTCACTTGAGCCTTCGGCTCAGGTGAGCTAAAAAAAAAACATGCTGGGTCGATCGTCGTGATATGTTGTCGATAGTGAATAAATTTATTGTTTATGGCAACATTGTTAATTAAACATTCACAATTCGCAAAGCCTTGACTAAATGATTTTTATTAAACAGAAACCATTAACAAAATTATTTTAACAGTTCATGTTAAAATCTTTGTTTTAATTTAGTTCTTGTTTAATGACTTAATTGCATGTACCGGTACCTTGTCTGCCTTTGCATGCTTTACAACAGGGATAGTGTCAACCAATTAGCAGCGCTTCACTGACCACACGCACCTGTGGCGGTATATTGAGATAATTGACACTTAAATATGGACATCTGTTGTGAAAACAGGGTGGCGGATGGCGGTATGCTAATTTGGCGTTATAAAGAGAATTTTATATAGCAGGAAAAACGTTCGTGGGAAATCATGGCGGTAAGCCAAAAATGGCGATGAATCAAATGGCGATAATTCGAGAATTGACTGTATTTGCTTCATTTATAACATATTTGGTAGTAAAACTTGAAGGAAAACATGCATATTGCTAATTCGCTATATATTGTTATACAAATTCGTTATACAAATATAACGAATTCTGGATATAGCGAAGTAAATACACAGATCCCCAGGACTTTGCCATAACTGAGTTTTACTGTATTTGCATTCTTTTAATTAATATTACACACATTCTGTATGTGTACTTTAAAAAGTGGGTTTAATATTGACATCGGTGCTCTAAATCATGAATACACTGCTGACAACATGGACAAGGAAATTGATTGGTAATGAATTTGGTTAAATGTGATACAATTATCATGATTATGTTTATAAGTCTTGCAGATGCAAGGCGAGTTTACTGTTCTCTTACCCAAATAGTAGTCCACAGTATGTTGCAGTTGTTTTCCTGGGTTAACACAAACATTAGGGAATGCTGCAAAACAATCACAATGTTTAATCTATTTCTTTGAAGACTCATTCTGTCAAAATCATATTTCCCTGAATCAATCTAATATTTTTAAATGAACATTCAGGTGAATGTTCTACTTCTGCATAAGAAGAGCTTAAAAAAGTATACAGTTATTTTTTGTCGCTACTGATTGCAGCATAGCATATGTCCATCTGCACCAGTGACTAATTAAGTCAGTCGCTTTATAAAGCGGTCCTCAGATAAAGCCAGAATATGATCGAATATGGCGGACACATATTCCTTTTGTGAAATGTGTTCAGCATCAAATATTAGATTATCGAACAATAAATATTTTTTATAGAATATTACTCTGACGGATTGCCCAAACATCTTTTCTTGGAAAACCTCAGATGTTTCAGACTATCTGACTGTTTGCTTGCAAAATACATAGACCTAAATCAGGTGTAAGCAGCCTCCATTTTCAGAGTACAGTCTTACCTTGTGTTATTTTCACATTTGTGCTACCCAAGCTTCAGATGCCTGTACCTTAGAGAACTTGCTTGGGTCTTCTATCTCATTTGGGACATTGTTCAGTGTTGTTGTCAGCCTGTTGTGCAAAATTTATTATATAAACAATCCAGTGTCCCTGTAAAAACAATCTTTTTCAGTGATATCTTTCTTCGTTATGGTAAAAACATTTAACTATGTCTCTAAAACATTTTTTTTTCTTTTAAATATTGTTAAACTTAGAAAATACCTGCCGAAGTGTCAACAAAAAAAAAAGTAAGGAATGCCACGGGCACTTTGCGCTAAGGCGAAGTGAATGCCGATCCCGATCTGTTATAATCAAAGAGCTGAAAGTACTGAGACGATGTTACATAAAGTCTGATATTACAATTTACAGAACTCGAGTCAAGATTAAGACATAATGAAATAATTTTGTTACTTGAAATAAATAATTAGAATTTGAACCTTAAACTTATCATTTATCCCAATACAATTTCCTCTGATTTTCCAATTACCTATTTTTAATGAATTTTAAAGATATATTTTTTTTATAGCCAGTTCACTTTTTTGGCCCTCAGGCTTATTCTTTAAATAGGGTTATTAACATAAATGATTGATTGTATATTGTTTAATGTCCCTCTTGAAAATTATTATTTTGATATATCATATATATATGTGTGTGTTCTGGAATGTCTTAAGGAATTTTTCAAGTCGACATAAGTTGCCTCAAATCCATATACCATAGGAATGCTTCAATACCAATGTCATTTGCATGGCCTTAAGGAGTTTAGAAGAATTTTTTCCCTACAGACCTGCATTGTGCAAAATTTTATACTGATCTTATCCAACTCTACCCCAGAGTTCAAAATGAATGAAAAAAAAATATACTGGTAGAAATGTTTGCAGATTGAGGTTTTAAAAAAATATTGGGGGTGGGGTATGGTGTGGGGTAATTTCATGTAAAATTTTGATACCCTTGTGTGGCACTAACCTTACTCATGTTACTTGTACCATGAGATATATAACTAAGAATCTTCACTAACTCTGAGAGCGTTAATATGTTTTAATTTTTTCTGGTTTTTAATATTTCAATTACATAATTTTGTCACACTTGAGTTTTTTCTGGAAAAAAAATGACACTTTTTAAGACTTTTGTTGCCCTGTCTTGTATCCCTTCTGACTGTCAGAGCGTCTTCTCAGCATGCTCAATTAATACACATGAATTCTATAATTTCAATTTCTTTAATTTTTGTTTCACCTCAATAACTAGAAAACTGACCAGTCAGCAAGGGCCCCGCCATGGGGTAGAATTAATAGCCGGTGCAGCTTACGGAATGATTAAAAAATGTACGAAGAATAAGCAACAGCAACAGCAATTGTATTCTTAAAATTTCAAGATAATTCCTGAATATTCAAAAACCTGAAAATAATATCCTTGTATTTACATTAGGCAGTAAAGAACAACTTAACATTGAATGTATATTTAAACAATTATGAAGCTTAGGTTATATAAAATGCCAGCCTTCAATGAATGCAAATATCATGAAGGCTTGACCTTAACTTCAAACAAACAGCAGTTGCAGACAAAGGTTTACATTAATCTTAAAGTGACAGATAAAGAAAAGCCTACTAAATTTTCTGCAGCAGGCTAGATAATTAATCCCAAGGGATTAATTGTACCTCTCTCATCATTTTCTTCTAATGTTACAATAAGAACTTTTTCAGTATTAATGATATAATGGGGTTTTTATACAACTATCCTAAAAATTAATAATATTCTTGAATTAACATAAAGTGACAAATTTAAAGTAAATCAAAAAATCTTCTTTAATCTATTTCTTGTTATTAGAATTCAATGAAATCATAACTACCTGTGGTATTAAACAAAAATAAATTATAAAAATTTATATTTAAATCCACATTTCAGAGTGTTCATAGCATTCCAAATTGACTTAACTTCAAAACAAACTTCATTTGCAGACAGAGGTGGTAATTCATCTCAATTTGACAGATAAAGATAATGCTCTGGATTTTCTTCAGGAGGAAAGCTAATTAATCCCAAGGGACTCATAGCAGCATTCAGTTTACAATGGGAACATCTTCAGCAGTTATCTCTCTTTGCCAATGCTTTCGTATATAAAGTTAAGGAATCTACCCCACCACCCCAGCTCCAAACCAGGGGACATAGAGAACCAAACTTAGCATCAAAATATGTATTTCTGCCTACTGAACTACCATACCAAATTTGTACTTGATTGGGTAACCATAAAAAAAGTTGCCCATTCATTCTTATGCATAGTTAAGGAATCTACCCCACCACCCCAGCTCCAAACCAGAAGACATAGAGAACCAAACTTAGCATCAAAATATGTATTTCTGCCTACTTAACTACCATACCAAATTTGAACTTGATTGGGCAACCATAAAAAAAGTTATTAGAAAAAAACAGAAAATTTGTGGACAGAAGAGTGACAGACGGACAGACAGACAGACAGACAGACGGACGGACAGAGTGATTACTATAGGGCACCCGCAAATTCTTGCGGGGCCCTAATAAAAAACGAAAATATTAAATCATATCAGATATATACATTAGAAAGTAGGGTGGGTGGGCGGGAACTTGTTGCACTAAGCGCTGCGAAACCTCGAATAACCTCTAATTCTTAATACCTGGACACAGGTAAACTACCTGTTCCGCATGATTTCATTTGAACTCATATCAATCGTTACAACCCAATCAAATTTTAGATACTATAAATACTTCCTGAACACGTAAACAAACAACACCACGTGTTTCTGATACCATTTATAAATATATTTTTTAAGAATTTTGTCGCCCTGTTTATATCCCTTCTGACTGTAAGAGCGTCTTCTCAACATGCTCAATATACACATGAGTTCTATAATTTTAATTTCTTTAATTTCCCACACAAATTAGATTTAATTTTCTGTTTTGTTTTTGTTTCACCTCAATAATTATATTTTCTCATGATAATTTTTCAAATGTGTAATTATGTGTCTTTTGAATTCAAAGTTTTCTAATTATATCACATAAACTTAGGTTGTTTCTTCTTTTTCTTCTTGATGTGTTTTCATATGTCTCTGTAAACTATCTGGATATTTAAAGTCCTTCCCACACTCCTCACAGCTATGGTCTTTTTCGGATGTATGTGTCTGTGTGTGTCTTTTCAAGTGTGCCCTTTCACGAAAGGCTTTCCCGCAAATATCACATGAATGAGGTTTTTCTTCGCTATGTATTCTCATGTGTCTTCGTAAACCATCTGGATATTTAAACTCCTTCCCACACACATCACAACTATGAGCTTTTTCAGATGTATGCGTCTTTGCGTGTCTTTTCAAGTGTGCCATTTCACGAAATGTTTTCCTGCAGATATAGCATGAATATGGATTCTCTCCTTCATGTATTTTCAAGTGTCTTTGTAAACCCTTTGAATCGCTCAGTACTTTTCCGCACACATCACAAGAATTGTCTCCTTCTCTCTCTGAATTCCCAATCTCATCACTCTCTGCAGACTCTCCATCTGCATGGGTCTTTAAGTACATCTGCGATTGTTCCGACTGAATGAAAAAGTTTCTTGCATGGGTCTTCATGTGTGACTTAAAATGCTGAGATAAAGAGAAGATCTTCTCACACACATCACATTTATAATGCTCATCTCCTGTATGTGTCTTTATATGTAGATTTAAGTTCTGTATGTCCTTGTATGTCTTTCCACACACTTCACATTTATAAGGTTCATCATCTGAATGACTCAACATGTGTCTCTTTAAAAGAGATAATTTCTTGAAGGTCTTCCCACACACATCACATTTGTCATCAGCTCTATGTGTCCTCATGTGTATCTCTAAGACACTGGATTGGATAAATAACCTCCCACACACATCACATTTAAAAGGTTTATAACCTGTATGGGTCCACATGTGTCTGCGTAAAGCATTTGATTGCATGAACGCCTTCCCACACTCCTCGCATTTAAAAGGTGTCTCACCTGTATGTGTCCTCATGTGTGTTCTTAAGGAACTCGATAAGCTGAATGCCCTTCCACACAGACCACATACATACGGTTTCTCACCTGTATGTATCCTCATGTGTTTCCTTAAGTTTCCTGCTTCCTTCAGCTCACTTCCACAAATCTCACACTTAAACAGTTTTTTACCTGTATCTGTCCCCATTTGTGTTGGTAGTTCATCTGAACAGGTAGAGGTTTTCAAGCAGAATGTTACATTCATTTGGCTTTCTCCACTGGTGTACTGATGCATCTCTTTAAAACTGCTATACAAGTTGCGTGTTCATATGTCTTTTCAAATAATGTTCTCCAGGAAAAATAGCATGCAGAGGGTATTTAAATGGTATATGTCTTGGGGTGATTCCCTACATGTTCTGAATGAGTCATAGGTGATACATTCAAAATGCTTTTGCCCAAGTGTTGTTTGATGGTAATTATCAGCACTGTAATTGGTTGGTTGTTATCAGCACTGTTACTGGTTGGTTGTTATCAGCACTGTAGTTAGTTGGTTGTTATCAGCACTGGTATTGGTTGGTTGTTATCAGCACTGTTATTGGTTGGCTATTTTCAGGACTGGTATTGTTTGGTTGTTATCAGCACTGCAATTGGTTGGCTATTTTCAGGACTGTAATTGCTAAACTTTCCAGCATCACTTTGAGTGTGTGATTTGGATGAATAAGCTTTATTTCCTCCCCTAAAAATGTGACAAAGGTAGAAATAAATTGTAATACTAGATAAAGGTTATTGTCTTGTGAAATGTAAAATCTAAGATAAGACTACAAACTTGTGTCAGAAATCTACAAACTTTCAAATAAATTTATGTTACTTCATACAAATAAAATGAGTAATTATAATTGTTAGTCTAAGAATCATTGCCTTAGGGGGTGATTAAAAACATAGGAAAAATGTATATTTGAACTAGATCAGTTTTGTTGATCAAGTAAGCTTCCATTCTGAAATTTTGAATGATTTTATCAAAGAGTGAGAACACAAAATGTTGTCAAGTATGGCTTGCACTACTAGCTGTAAGACAGACAACTCAAATGAGGGAGCTTGTTGTAAAACAAGACACCGAATCTTCCATCACATTTATCATGTTATTTAATATCATATAAATAGGATGTTGTATTATAAATATTTTCTTTCTTTTAAATGGTCCTCTGACACAATTAAAACAATGACCTCATGAATTTCCCTTAGGAATTGTGAATTGTTATTTCATAAATTCATTCCAAAAAAATAAGTGTTTTTGTTTCTATTTATATCTACAGTCAATTCTCGAATTATCGCCATTCGATTCATCGCCATTTTCGCAATACCGCCATGATTTCCCAAGAACGTTTTTCCTGCTATATAAAATTCTCTTTATAACGCCAAATTCGCATACCGCCATCCGCCACCCTGTTTTCACAACAAATGTCCATTTTTAAGTGTCAATTATCTCGATATACCGCCACAGGTGCGTGTGGTCAGTGAAGCGCGGCTAATTGGTTGACACTATCCCAGTTGTAAAGCATGCAAAGGCAGACAAGGTACCTGTAATTAAGTAATTAAACAAGAACTAAATAAACAAAGATTTTAACATGAACTGTTATAATAATTTTGTTTTCTGTTTAATAAAAATCATTTAGTCACGGCTTTGCCACGAAAGCGGTGGTTGTTAAAGTACGCCGATAACTATATAATTTAGATGATCTCTGCTCTAAACATTGCAACATTTGCTGAACAAATAATTATACGGTATAAATTGTGAATGTTTAATTAACAATGTTGCCATAAACAATAAATTTATTCAAGAATTCATTTTACTTACTATCGGGAATATATCACGACGATCGACCCAGCACTTTTTTTTTTTTTTTTTTTTTTTTTTTTTTCAATAGCAGAACTGCAGATTTAAATGCACACCCATGTACTTGTCTTTATTTCATAACTGCACATTTTGTTTTAGCGAATTTGTACATTAAAAAAAATAACTTAAAGTATTTTCAATCAGTTTTTATATACATATACATGTAATAAGAAGAATAGAAACGCTAAATGGTATTTCTAAGAACGGTAACTCTACTTCTTGTTTTCCAGATGATGGGAAATTCAATTCATTGCCAAATTCATTATACCGCCGTGATTTCTAAATTACAAAAGGTGGCGGTTTATCGAGAATTAACTGTATATATACCAGAAGATTCATCATCAAATACTGGATATTTGGACACTGTGTATGCAAGGTAGCGACCTCTGACTTAACGACCATATAAACTGGACATCTGCTCTAAACCTGAAAAAGATTAAGCAAATCATTCTCAAGAAGAAACACATTTGTAATCATAAGTACTGTGAAATCACCATGATTTTCTAGGGGGACCTATAATATTTATGGATTTTTTAAGTCTCAGACTCCAATATCCATCACAGAAATTACATCCCCACTAACAACTACTTTGTCAATATATCTATTCCTTGGATCTTCTGAATATATGGCATGTATGAGTTACTCATGAAATTACTGTAAAAGCACAAATATTTGTGGGGGATTAAATTTTGTTTATTTCGTTGTTAACAAAATTCAACGAAATTAAATCCCACATGAAATTTTATCTGACTATATATTGAAGAGGATTAGTTCTAAAACAACGTAATTAATTGCACACAAAATTATTTTTGATGACAAAACAACAAAATTTTATGCCCAAGAAAATTTGTGCTTCTACAGTATGTCCTTACGACCAACAAAATGTAACAAACATTGACCATGTTGACAGTCACAAATAAAAATCTCACAGTATCCTGTTATGTCATTTTAAATTCATGTTAGTTATTAGCTGGTATTGGACTAACAAGACTAGTATTTGTTAGTCTAAAAATATGATTCATATAAATTATTTAGTAAGGTACATTACCATAAAGTAGCTTCTTTTTTTGTTTTTTATTTCTTTTAAATAAATGACATTATTTCGGATGTAGCTTGTAACACGAGCTTTGATTGATTACAAAGTCGAATGTAAATTTCCATGCATTCGACTTGAGCCAGGTCAAAATAAAATGTGACATCACAATGCATACTTTCTCTATGATAAAAACCAAATAACAAGATGTCATGATGCCTACTATAAGTATTTATTTTATCGATAGATTGAGACACACTTTATTAGACTCTAATGTAACTTACAAAGCATTTTTATGGGTACAAAGGAAATAAATTTGTTATCCAGGTCCAATCAATGGTGTACAGGGATTTACTCCAGGTTGTATTCCATACACCCTTCGGCCTCAGGGTTTATGGATAAAAATCCGGGGTAAATCCCCGTAGTCTATAGAAAGAATAATTCACATAGGCAACACTGCTGTTCCCTTCAGTATAGTCATTTGGTTGTTTAATTGACTCTCTGTCACTATTAGCCAGCGCAGCGAGTGTCGCGAAGCGACGCTCGCAAAGCGAGCTCAATAGACTAACGTGTAAGAACAGAGGAAATTCGGATTGAAATCTGTACATACGTCAGCCAAATTTCTCTGTGCAACATTCCCAGAATTCCCGCACTACCCAATGTCCTTTGCGCAAATAAATAAATAAATAAAATAATAACGTAAAACATACTAGTAAAAGGCTAGAACAGTTTGTGGAAATCTTTCAAAGAAACAAAAAATAACTCTACAATGTTTTTCAACCAAAATTGCACTAGGTCTATAGTTTCAAACAGACGCTCGGTTGTCTCCGTAAGCTCCGACAAGCTCTGTGACGTCGTGTGACGTCACAGTTAGTCGAGATATCTCGTGCGCCTTGATATTTGAAGTGGCTGATCAATTTTTACAGTGTTTTTGGTGGTACAACTGCGCTCGCCCCAACGGTCACACCGTAAAACATATTATTTCTACATTGCTTACCGTTTAGGCATGTTAATCCCAACATGTAAATATTCAGTGAAATTTCTGTTCAAAATATGGCTCCCATGATGAAATTGTTTACCTCCTCGCATAAAAGAGTTCCTATAGTTTGTTTTCTTTACATGTGAATCTAAACAACTATCAACTGTGGCTATTGTATTGAACACCAAATCTAAAGAAAACAAACTATAGAAACTCTTTTATGCGAGGAGGAAAACAATTTCATTACAGAGGCCACATTTTAAATGGATATTTCAGTGAATGGTGACAGAGTCAAATAAACAACCAAATGACTAAACTGAAGTGAACAGCAGTGTTGCCTTTGTGAAAAATTCTTTCTATAGTTGACTGAAGTTGGGGTTTAATTTCCAGACATGAATAATTAATGGTAGTCCAGAGATTCTGTAGACATCAGTAAAAATATATATCCAGCCCAGCAGAATCTCAACAAAGATTAACTGGTAATCTAACAACCAAGCTTATTGATAAACGTGATGACTTTAACTCCTCCTTGGCACCTGATCCCACAGGGACTGACAAATAGATTTTTAAGGCACTTGTCCAAGTGCAAGTACATGGTCAAAATTGACTTGCCCTACCTGAATTTTTGCTTGCCCTACCATAAACTAATTCAGTCTGTATTTATAGATATTTAAAAATAAGAGGAAGACAAATGCTGAGTAAATCATACAAGCCCCTATGCCCAGCTTTAAATTTATGGCCTACAAATAAATTCTATTTTTGATAAGTCACTTGCCCACGGGCAAGTGGTTGATAAAATTTCACTTGCCCACCCCTAAAATTCACTAGCCCCGAGCATCAGGCAATGGGATTTGTCATCCCCTGTCCCACCTCTGATGTTTTGGTGGTCCGTGTTTGCTCCTCTTTTATTTTGTATTGTTTTATGGACTTTTTCACTTAAATAGACCCTTTCGTGATAAGTGCGGTACTGCTCCTTTGCATGGCAAAATGATATATTTTGGTGAAATATGACGAAAAAGCAGATGTTTCAATAAACCAAAAGTCATTTATCTATCTTTTAACAAAAACTCCGCCAAACGTTATTAATTTGCCCTGCAGAACAGCAATACCACAATTACTGTGAAGAGGATAACACTGTTCATTATCTCCATATATATCATTATATGAATTTTTGCCATTGTTTTTAACCGCTGACTGGAACAGAGTCAGAAATTAAAAATATTTAAGTATAGGTGAATGTTTTTCAAAACAGAAATGAATGAATGCGTTGAATGAATGAAGCGCTACTGTACTCTATACTTAAGAAATAAATAACAAGTTTATAAACTTCAATGGGAATTGAAGTGGGTCGGTCACGTGATCAAATCCTGTGAAGGCCGAAGGCCTTCTCAGAAGATTTGATCATGTACCGACCCACTTCAATTCCCATTGAAGTTTATAAACTATTTATTTATTTCTTATATATACATTTGAGACAGACAATTGAATATTTTCGAATTTATTTATTGCACTAACCGTTCGTCGTAGATTTTGAAAAAATGACGCAGGGTGTAAATCGGCTTGCATGGCGGTTACGCTTCGAATTCGTTAGGCTAAGGAATCTATTTCAAAGGGAATATTTTGTGAAAGGCTGCTTGTGATCAGTAATAGTGAACAGATTGTTGTCTGGGAATATTTTATTCGTGAAAAATGATAATCGATGCTGAAAAGACACAAGAAACACGTCCGAAGTTTGATGATAAAAAGTTGGAGGAATTTCGGTCGCTGGAAAGGGATGGATGGATCATGGACTGAGACACTTGTTCGATCCAGTTAATTTGCAATTTGATCAAAAACATTCCACGGTTTCAGCAACTAAAGGCATACTTATCGTAAAACACTGATAAACACGGAGACACTGGCGACAGCTTTACATTGAACTACGAAAACGCCGAGGTGTTTGGCAGCTGTTCATGGCATGATTGCAAAGATATTTTCCAACAGATTTACACATTTATCGTGAGTAAAATTTAAAGATAAAATAAAAGTTTATCATGAAAATTTAACCAAAGGTCTATCCAAAAAATAAGGATGAACGTTAGAGACTGTGCAACTGACAAAAGTGAAGAAAAATGTAAACAAACGCTTGGCTCCTAGTTTTCTCTATGTACACAGGTTGAATCGATGGCCCAAAAACTGTATGAAATACTTGTTTACATTTAAAATAAAATAACATTGTTATTTTACTTGCTTATTTTATTCATTTTTATACATGAAAAGCAAGCAGAGCAGGTCATTTTATAATTCATGTACCGGTAGATATTATTGCGCCGTGTGATTAGGTCACGTATTGACCTCTGACCTCTGACAAACTTCATACAGAATTGAAGATATTTTCTCTCTGTATGTTTATATAATGGAAAGATACCACAAATGTATATATATCAGAATATAGAAAAGTCGGGACTAGCCCTAGTAGCCGTACTAGTTTTACCGCTTGCCTTTGAGCCATACATTCTCACATATTTCCTTTTCACTCGTTCCACTGACATACTTTAAAAGGAACACGTTTATTGCACAGCTCTTTGGATACATGTATTTATCAAATTATACTACTAAATAGGGTAAGAAATTACCTGATAATTGATCCTTTGTTGATCAATACCGATCTCTGTCTGGCTTTGTGTACAAAAATCAAAATGACGATCCCGATCCCTATTATTGTGATGCAAAACGCTTTTTAGCTCACCCGAACCAAAACCTTTTTCAAAAGAACCACTGGGCCAATTTTAACCAGTCTTGGTACAAAGCATCCTCGAATAAAGGGCAGAATTGTAAAAATAAAGGACAAGTTCCTTCACAAGGGGAGATAATCAAGAAAAGACAAAAATAGGATGGGTTCATTAAAAAAATCTTCTCAAAGTTCTTAAGAACCAAGTTGGCCAGAAAAGTTATATTGCCAAGAACTAAAAACACCAGACCAAAAAAGATTGTTCGTTGCCACTATGACATTTATAGAGATATATTCATCTCTATAATCCAAAACCTCTTTTATAACATCATTTCCATTAACTGTCAGGAATATATCAAACTATATGCATGTTTGTTTCCTGCAGTCAACAGTCTTTTGACCCAAGTGCATTTAAAGGATTTCATAAAGTTGTCAATATTTACCATCCTTAAAACCTCCAGACAGGTCATCCTGATTATAGCTATTGTTCTCTTTAAGCAACAGGAGCTGTATTTTTGAACATTTTATTTTGCTGTTAAAATGTGTTATCAAGAAAAAAGTGAACCATTTTATTTAATGATTTATTATTGTACCTAAATAATTATTTTGTTCTAGAAAAAAAAATTATATGATGTTGAACAATTAGAAAAAAGATGGTCAAATTGGAAATGTCTTTTTCAAAGTAATGATTAAGCATAGGAGTTTTATACTATTGTTATATTGTAACCTATGTAAGACTGACATATTTATTTCACACACCCCTTCCACATGTAATATTGTAGGTGTGTGTCTCACCTTGTATGTAAGTGTGTGTATGTCTGTATGTGAGAGTGCCATTAAGGTCAGACGACACGATCCTCAAATGTATCTTTTGTATCTATTGGTGTTATACAAAAATTATGCATATTTGTCATTGCCTTGTGATTTCTACACAGTTTTCAATATGTTTTAAATATAAATACATAAAAAAAATTGTGATTTAGGCCATTCAGATGATTACCCATATGGGATATAGAAGAAATATCAACCTGTGGTATCTTGTCCAAATGCCTGGTAAGGTACCCTAAGTCTATTTCAGGAAATATGCTTAAGTACCTTTTATTCAATGACAAAGTCTTGGAAAAGTTATATATTTTTGAGGAACGTATCGTCTGACCTTAAATATATTTAAATGTTTGCTTCCGAACATATATGTAATGTGTTGTTTCTGTAAATAAATAAAAAAAATGTATTTAACTGATTTTAAACCTTTATGACCCATTATACTAAAATAAAGCAGAAGAAAGACTTCTATATACAATACAATATACAGTTTTATATATCATTATTGTACAGGACGACAAGAAATTAATTTTGATTCAATTGAATCTTGTAAATTAATAGTTCTTCCACCACAAATATCAACAATTAACAGAAGATTATTAACGTTATTTTTTTCTGCCATGGATATATTTATTATCTATTATCAATATATATTGCGCCAGAACATTCCCACATCAAAGTCGCAGCTCATATTGCTTAAACCTTACTTATCACATTTGATTTCGATATCAATTAAAAGATATCTTAATTAAAATTTATTTAGTGAGGAAAGTTTGTCAATAATAAGTACAGGAAGAGAAATAAATAAATGATTCAGTTTTTGTAAAATTAGTTTTTACAACAGCGCCCCCCCCCCCCCTTTAAAAAGAAAGACGTCCATGCTATTTAATTGACTTACAGTTGAACAGTGGAACACTGATATTTTGAATACCTTGGATATATATCAAATTGATATGGAAGTCTTTATTTCACCTTAATTATTTCTTAAGCTGGAAATGACCCGTATATCGACATAATATCATTTCAATCTTCCTGTCTCCGATATCAACACGGGGATATACCTTTCGAATCCGATACCCCTGACTGATTTCTTAACTCTGGTCTAAATTTCTAAAACGTTGTTAGTTGGTTATTCACTGGCCGATTTAGAGGGGGGTCCGCCCCTCCACCCTTTGTGTCCAAGAAAATACACAATATTTGTTAAATCAATGTTTTTTGTGTGTGGGCCCCTACACTGACCTCAAAGTGGTCGCCCCCCCCCCCCTTTTAAAAATTTCTGGATCTGCCACTGTTATTGACATACAAATTGCTGAGGCATCTTTAATTTTATGATCGATACAATGACCTTCCCAGCAAATACAGTTTCATGTCATATGCTCATTTTTTTTTTCAAACTGATTGTAAGGTCATTATTAACACAATGAGTTGTCCACGGATTCTCCCCTTTTCCCGAACATAACAAGAAGCACGTGTCGGGTGTCACATGTCCACAGGGGATGCTCAATTTTTCAACCTTGTCATTCATCTGAAAAATTGTAGGACATCCAGCATCTGAAGTAACTCTGATAGTGTGTATCCCTTGGTTTACGTATGGCTTATACAAGTAGTTACTTCAGAAAGAGCAAGCTCCAAAAACTTGATCCGTGTCACTCATCTGAAAAATGTAGGTTAAATCGAGCAATCAAAGTAAGGTCCAGTAGTGTGCATCCTTAGATGTACTCTCTGTAGCTAGTTCAAGGTTAATATAGGGCTTATAGTAACTTTAGAATAAACCTGCTCCAAAACTTTTAACTTGTCACTATCTGAAAAAAGGTGAAATCGAGCATCCCAAATAAACCTGGAAATGTGCATCCTTAGACGTAGCATCCATGCAAGTTTAGTTTGTTAAAAGGAAATGGGACCTAATACTAAAATTTAGATCAAACCCAGCATCATAAGCAAGGCACCATTAAAATATATAATTTGCATTTTTAATATGAAAATTTTCAAGAAAATCAAACAGAAATATCATGCATGTATCTTGCTGATCAAATCATATTTCAACTATATTATTATTTTATAAAAGATAAAAACTTAGATTGCTTCATATCTTAAAAAAAAACAAAAACATTTTCACTATTTTGAAGGGTGGACAACATCATACAATGTTCAACTACATGTATTTTGAATTTTTTAATTTCAAATGATATGAAATGATAACAATTCCTTGTATGGATATTGCGGCTTATTAATTCAAGATAATCCCAAAATCAAAGTTTATTAAAATGGAACTTCTACATCTCTGAAGACAATATGTTAAGTATCTGAACTAGTTGGTTTTCTTCACTGGTTTGTTTATGTTAAACTGATAAGCTGCATGATATACCTTTCTGTCCCTATCTATTTTTGTTACATTTGTATTTCTTATATTGATGTGTACTTATGTTAACCTTAAAGCTTTCTCATCTATCAATTGACTGCATGTGTATACTGTATACAGGGAAATTTTCGCCCCTTTCGCCCTATCCTCATTTGGGCGAATTTAAAACAGGGCAAATTCAAAGAATACACTATATAAATTTCTTTAAAAAAACTATGACTGGGCGAATTTAAAATGGGGCTTAATTGTTTGCGAGTGTGAGAGGGCGAAAATAACTCTGTATACAGTATATCCGAAATGCATCACATTATAATTGATGATCATATTTCTCAATGTGGCTTAACATTTGATTTCTCCATGTTTAAGTATCCTTCATGTATACAATAACTTTCACAGTACATACATGTACATTACTATCAACATAATCAATACAAAATAATATGTTAAATAATTTATTGAATAATTATGTCAATTTTCTTTTCATTTGAATGTTTCTCCTTGTGTTTCTCTAAAGTTCTTAATTTAAAAAATCCCTTTCCACACACTTCACATATAAATAAAGGTTTATCATCGGTATGGGTCCTCTTGTGTCGTTGTAAGCTTAACGCCACAGCAAAAGCCTTCCCACACACGTCACACATGTACGGTTTATCACTTGTATGTGTCCTCCGGTGATTCTTTGAGTGTTCGGAATGGATCAATGACCTTCCAGAAGGTTCCTCGCCATTGTGTATCAAAATGTGTTTCTTTAAGTCACCCTCGTGAGTGAATGTCCAGTCACGCCCATCAGGTGTTTTTGGATTATCACTTGTATGCACCATCATGTGCATCTGTAAGTTATCTGATTGATAAAACACTTTCGCACACACATCACATCTATAAGATTTATTGCTAGTATGTGATTTCACGTGTCTCTGAAAGCAACTTGAATCAGAGAAAGCCTTTCCACACACTTCACATTTATAAGGCTTTTCACCTGTGTGTATCCTCATGTGTTTGAGAAAGTTACTTGAATTACTGGAGGCCTTTCCACACACATCACATTTATAAGGTTTATCACCGGTGTGGACCCTCATATGTGCATATAAGGCATCTGTTCTTTTAAATGCCTTTCCACACACTTCACAAAGTTTGTCACCAGTATGAGTTTCTTTGTGTATCTGTAAGTCTTGTGAGTTGTTGAATGTCTTTCCACACAACTCACACTTATAAGTTGTATGTGTCTTCAAGTGTCTACGTTTGCTACATAAATGGTTGAACCTTTTCCCACACATTTCACATTGATGAGGTCGATCAGAAGTATGTATCTTCATGTGTACTTTTAAGTGGTCCTTTCGACTTAAAATTCTTCCACAGATGGTACATTCATGACCCTTTTTACTTGACTGAGTACCATCATGACCTACTAAATTTTCTGTTCGTTTGTCACTTTTGGAGAATTGTGAGTAGTTTTCAGCATTGCTTTCGATACACAGTTTAGATGAAATCGTCCCTTGCTCCACCTATAATGTAAAAAAAAAAATATTTCAATGCTTGCTTTAAGTATTTTTGAATTTATTATATAACTGTGTCAATCAAAACACATAAATTCAAAAGTCATCTGGCAAATTAACTTTCTCATTATTTAATATTTACACATTAAGTCAGTGTTTGGATTCTTTATGATAGATTCTTACAAAATACATGGAATATGCCAAAGTATTTTGACCTTCATAGCTCATGACCTTTTGCTTAGCAAAATTTAAATTCTAGTTGAATTAACAAGAAATCAACTCATCTAACTTTCGAAGCATTATCACTGAGAAAACAAATAGAAATGTAAACATTTAAATTTTAAATTAAACTATTTTGTGATACAGATGTACGCATACATTTTTAACAGAATATAAAAATTAAGAAACTGTCTCAAATGCTGATAAGTTGTTACAGTGTGGACAATATGTTGTAAAAATTTTGTGGTTTCAAACACCTTTTCTCTTTATTTATGTTTTTAACCTCGTTATCATGAATTCTCACTACAGTCAGGTAAAATGGCATGACCTACTTAAACAGATTAAAATGTCTAGTCATCAAAAAAAAGAATGAAACAGTTATTGCTGCTTAATTTTTCAGTCCGTCTGATAATTGAGCAACCTTCAAAGTACATGTACAATATTCACTAAGCCCTTTGATGTTTACTGTAAACAAACTTTTATTCGCGACGACTTTATTTCGCGATTTACCAGGGATAAACTAGTTTGCGACGATTAATTTTCGCGATCAAGCCCTTTTGCATCTGTTTTTAGTAGACAATATCCTTTAAGGATGTACAACACACCAAAAATTCCTGTCGTTTAATTTTCGTTATTTTTGTATATTTATTACATGAGTATATTTTCTGCATGTTTGCATATTTTGGACAAAATCGTTCGAGTGGTTTTTGGACAGGAACTTCCAAAAGTTACCCCCTTTAGTTGTTTACAAGGAGAGAAAATTTTTAATCAATGAACTACTTAAACCTTGATTTTCAAAAAAACCACGTTAGATATAAATGTCAAATTTAATTGGCTTATTCCTTTAACCATTTAACACAAAAACATAGTCATCTTTTTGATATACATATCATCAAAACAATTTTTAAAGACCTTAAACTGAAAAACTATGAATTTTCTAAGCCTTGAAAATTGCGTATTTTTCAAATTCAAATTTTTTTTGTGAAAAAACCTGTCGTTTAATTTTGGTAAAAAACTTTCTTTATGTAGCTGGTAGTAAAAATAATATTAATAATTTTTTGTATAATTTTTGTACGACCAGTTTTGATTTAATAGCGGAAAATTACCCCCTCACCCTTTCTCAATAAATCACGTTCCCGCTCGTTTTTCCAGACGGGGGTCGATCACTCTGTTATATGAATCTACAAATACACATCAAAAAAATTAAATTTGAATATTGCTTTTGCTTCAAAAATATATTAACTTACAAATTTAAAAGTTCTCATATGTAAAGCCTATTTAAATGTAGATTTTTAGGCAATTTTTGAATACCCCTATTACCCCCACCCCTTCCTTTTTTGCGTCGCAGACCATTATCGTTTGACGAAACGTCGTTTACAGTGCAAATATACTGGTATTTCGTCAAGAATCCCGTAGGTATGCATTAGTTTTTAAGTTCATGAATGCAGAATAAATATTGACTACTCTTTTTATATGTATCAGGAAAAAATTACTGAAAGATTTTAGTGTTTAATCCATATACGTATGCGTTATGCATTCCATATCACATGAAACCTGGATACGAATTCAAGTTTTGTTGAACTTGAATATGTTGATTTTTAATTTTATTTCTTTAATTTTATGCATTAAAAATGGTGTATGTTCAACTCTCCTGTGATATAAATGGAATAATTGTAGTTTCTTTCATGTCATTATTTCAAACGAGACAGTACTGTATGTGGCCGTGGGGATACATCGACATTTGCATTAGATGTACATACACCCCTCATGATATTGTACGCATTTCTTTCAATGTCGTCGCTTCTAAAGCATGTTGTAAAGTTAAAATGAAAATTCCGTATTCGTCCACATCAACTTCAAAATATCAAACATTAAACTCTTCATCTATTTCAATTAATATCAAATCGCACATTGATATTTTTAAAAATCTTATAGGCTACGTTTTGTTTTGATTCGAGGAAATGCGAACCGACATTGTCGACAGAAAGTCAAAGTTACGATTTGCTGCAATAGGATATTCATAAATGCAGATAATTTCAGTACAAGTGAACAATTCTTTTCAATTCTATACTTACATTGTGTATATGAGGTCTATAGTATTCAATTCTCGGATTTATCAGGTCATGCTGTAAATGTATCTGATTCTGTGGAAAACCGTGAATAAAGGGAAGGAAATAAACATCTCCTACATTTTCAGAGTTGTTCCTCTTTGATCAGTAAGGGTCTGAGAACAACATCGATTTTACATTGTAAAATGTTTTTGTTTATTTAAATTGTTGTTTTATTTAATTAAAGAAGAAAAACAATATTTATATCGTGTATGCACAAATTGTAATGAAGACCATTAATCGGAATGTTATATCGCCAATTGTACATGATGAGAATTTCGGCAATGTAAAATAAAATTTCCAGAATAAAAAAAATGCTGTGCTTTGATCAAAAATACAATTTATTGTATATGAAATTAAATGAAATAAACATTAAGGGATGGTATTTTATGTCTTGCTTTTTACGGAGTTTAATCGGGTTAATTAAAAAAAAAACAAGTTAATTGATTGAATATGGTACGCACAATCACAGCCAATCCCAATATCCCAATTTTCTTTCATGATTGATATGCATCGGGATCGTTTTACTCGTCGTTTTGACGCTTTATTTTTGACGTTAAATTTGACGTCACGTCAAACGTTCAATTGAAATCGCAAGAGTTATCTCCCCCAGTGTGTTGTACGTCTTTAAGGACCAGTTCGCGGCAAGAAATATTCGCGATAACGAGGACCCTCGCGAACTTCGTGAAAAATTCTCGAACGTGAATAAAAGTTGGTTTACAGAAATCTTGGTCCAATTGAGTTTAGGACAATAAGGTGTGACTGTATTTTGGTTCTTAGACTTATAAATATTATTATACCCCCCGCTTGAAAAGCGGGAGGGTATATAGTAATCGTTAATTCCGTCCGTCCGTCCGTCCGTCTGTCTGTCCGTCCGTCTGTTACGCTTTGGGGTACCCATCTCTTATCCGTAACTCCTCTCATACCACTGAATGAAATTTGATGAAACTTTCATAGAATCTTTATTACATATTGCCATTGTGCACCTCCTATTTTACTTTTTGATCCAACACATAATTTGGGTTTCCCGGCCACAGGAAAACATGGACATTTTCACCTGTTATAACCATATGGAAAGCGGGGGGTATCATTTAGTGAGCTCATCGCTCACAGTACCTCTAGTTGATATAAAAAACATTGCACAATGCATTTATTTTTTTAAAAAATATAATTAATAAGTAACTAGTATATTCAAATATTTTCATTTTTTCCCCAGTATATTCTTCTATTTAATTTGCTGATTATACATGTATTATAGTTTATCTTCATAAATTTTCAAACAAGAATAGATAAAAAGATACTGCAAATATCTGTTTCTGACTCTTCAAACTTTCTGTCTTATGTCTATTTATCTTCGATCATTTTGTCTTATTAACAACTTTCATCTCAAAATGCAAAGTGCTATAGCTGAAGGAACAGCTTTGAACTACTTATTATTTGTTGTGGTTGGGTGATAATGATTACTTAATATGAACATGATATCAAACTGGAAAATATAAATTCATGTACCTCCATAGTTCTCTGCTGCTGAGTTTCTCTGTCTCTTTTTGAAGTATCAGGATTCCCAAAAGGTCTTTTCTTTTCTACAATCAAGGCATGTTATCTGTAAGATTGCCACAAAATCTATTTAATATTACAAAAATGTACTCAAATCGATGAGACCAAGAATTGCTTGATTGATTGTATACTGTTTAATGTCCCTCTCCAGAATATTTCACTGATATGGAGACGTCACCATTCAATGTTGGTGATCGGCTGCAAATTTATGCCTATGCTCGGCACTTACGGCCTTTGAGCAGGGACGGATCTTTATCGTGCCACACCTGGTGTGACACTGGGCCTCAATTTATACGGTCTTATCCAAAGGACCGCCCCATTTCGTTGCCTTTTACGACAAGCAAGGGGCTACTGAGGACCTATTGACTGGCTAACTTCAAATATGGAACTTATGAATGTGCCTTAGAATTCATGAATTGTTTCGGAATATTATACAAATGATTTTCTTTTATATATATATGTTAACCTACCAGTAGATTGGTCATCCGATAATAGATTTTCAGAACAAGATGTGGGCAACTCTGCCATCATGATCTATTTATAGCTCAAAACCCCTGTAATAGAATTGTTCAACAAAACATCTACATTAATTTTTGAAAATCTGTTAACAGGTAAAGATAACAAATCGTGGCAAATTTTTCATCAGAAAATTTCCTTCTGGTCAAACTTCTTTAAGTAAGTAAGTAAGTAAGTAAATTTTATTTAAAGTTGGCATTGTATACTACATACATAACGATAAACATGAGCTCTGTAGAGCTCTTAAACCAACTATCACAGTTAAAATATCACAGAAAGACGTTTACACATAAATTATCATGCTTTGTTTGTCATTCAACTGAATTTTCTTAATTTAAGCCCATCTCCACCTCGAAACTCCACCTAAACCCCCACCTATAATCAACAGACTTGCAAATAAATATAGGAAATATCAGAACAACCCCCCCCCCCCCCCATGCATGATTTCCGAGTTAGAATGCCCATCCTGTACAAATGATGAAGGAATTATTTTAAGTTTTTTTAATTTTACTTTTACTTTTTGCATGCAAGTTTAAAATTAGTTACTCAAAGACTTTGCCCTACTACAAGATGGAAACAAAGGGACTAACTCTTAAGCAAAATATGTCATATGAAAAGGGTCTGTTGGGAATGGGATCCTACATGGGGCAGTGGAATATCCCTTTTAGTATGAGCTATTCTGTCCAGCAACATGACAATCGAACAATCTTTTTTCAGCATACCATACCTGCAATATTTTGTTTACAACACTCGAAATGCCGATCCCGATCAGCATTGCGCGCAGAAAATTCGAAGTACTGAAAGTACTGATCGATGTGACTTTAAATGCATAATTTGACAGTCATTGAAAATGAAAAAAAAGATTCCACTTTAAAAATGCTATGGCTTTTATTTACTTACTTACTAAATCCTCTTCGTTCCTTTTGAAGCATAGGGCTATCATAGTCACTCTCCACAAAGGATGTATTCGGTAATAACCAATAATTGCCCCCCAAATCAAACTTTGATGGAGATATATTTAATTAAGAGTCAAAATCAGCAAGCATCGAGCATTTAGTTAAAAAATGTGGAAAGTGGCATAGAAACAGATTTGGTTAAAACTCATATTTAAATTTTCAGAACAAAGGGTATGATAGAAAAAGGCAAGCCAAAAATAATTTTTTGCATTGTTGCTATGGAAACCACGCGCCTTTCAAATAGCGTGTTTTGTACTTTATCATGACACTTGAATTTATGGTTAAACAAATACTTTTTTATTACTAGTCATTTAAAAAAGCTTTTCAAATTATTATTTTATTTATATGAATATACTCTATTTTAACAACTGTTGAGTATTAACATTCTCTTCACCTTTTGATGAATAAAACTAGTTTTTGGAGGTTTATTTTGCTTTTAAAAACAGCAAATTTGAAGTACTCTATAAGAAATCTACAACCACATTAAAGCTTATCAACATAAGAAATTTATTAAACAGTATTTGTTCTAGAAGAATCAAGAAAAAAATCTGCAGGCAACTAAAGCAATTATATATGACAACTGATTTAAATCCATAATTTTCTGTCAATTTTGCTTCAAATTACCTCCCTTTGGTATAGCTCTCTAACATAGGAGGAATAAACGGTAGTTTGCTAACATTGTTTTCAATAACAATGTACAGAAGACTAGCAGAAAATTACAAACTTGGAGCAGTCTGAGCCTCAGTTTTGTCGTTTTCATGAGTCTTAATTACGGTGAGTGATTGAAATTTTTACAATTTACCATTACAACAGTTACTGAAGAATGTATAGCATAAATTATACATGCAGTAAAATATGTAACACTTGGCAAGTGTTTTTGCACATTTCAATTTTATTCTGATTGATTATATATGTTAGCATTACTTATTTTATAACTAAAAACAAAAATTAAAGATTATGCATGGCATGCGGAACCAGGAGGAGGGGGTATCCCCCCCCCCCCCAATAATATTGCTGATATTAAACTAGTCACTCACCAGCTATATAATGATTATAACTTGATTGATGGTCGAGTAAATAAAAATTCTGTATATAATAGTAGATATCTTTATTTACCATTTTAGATAATGCATGCTTTTCACATGAAAAATTATGAATTTATGAAAACCAACACTATTATGAAATGTTTGTAAAATGGAATGACCTTTGTTATGGCGTCCGTAAAAAAGAAAAAGAAAAAGGGGCAGGGGGTTAACTCTGTACTTAATATATTTTAGTTTAGGAAAGGGGATTACCTTGGAAGTATTGTGATACACACAAGTGTATTACGTACTAGTGTGGACTAGTGGTAACTGAATTGTATATATACCACAGTAAAATAATTAATTAAAAAAAAACTTTTTTAGCTGATGTCATCCAGTGTTTACTTATAAAAGAAAATTCATATTCAGCTAACATTTTCTACGGTACCACTGAACTAGGTTCAAATAATAAGCATCATTAGATTTAAAGCACGTAAATTTATGAAATGAATACAGTATCTATACTTCATTTTTTCATGGGGGGGGGGGGGGGTATTGGAAATATTTAGAGTTTTGACAAAACCTAGAACCAATTTACCTTTATTGCAAGTTTTTAAACTTAAAGAATATTTAAAATCAATGCGGTCTCAACTTTGTGTTGTATACTAAGTATTTCTGTTTTTAGAATGAAATTCGGCACTTTGAAGCCAAACTCGGAAAGAAGCAGAAACAGATATAGAATTGGACAGGAAAAACATGTAAATAATACATTTAGTAAAAACATTAACTTTTTAAAATGAAATGATAAACCATTGAGATTTCTTGGAATTTAATTGATTCCAATAAACATGCTTTGCATTCATCATCATTCCTCAAGCTCAAATAGAAATGGTTCTAAGTATACTATATGACGGCAAAGCTGTATAATATTATTACATTTTAATTTTATCACTTTTTTCAGATTATGAGAATACATTATTACAGTACAGACCATTGATGCTGGAAGTGAGTGGATAGTGTTTACCGGAGACTCAGGGATCCAGAAAAAAGATCCATAAATTGTACAGTGTATTCATGAAAGTAGATAAAATAAAATGTTCGATCTAAAAGTGACATTGTTTGTTTGTCTGTTAGCATTTTTTATTGATATAAATCTAATAACTACGTATCAATTTTTAGCATGCAGATTCATAATTATTAGATAGTCGAAGAATCTGAAACATATCTTTATATTCTGCATTTTGAAGTATCATAATTAAAACAAGGTCAATATTAAATGATCGATCAATTAATGTTAAAACTGACAAAATGTTTTTGTGAGAAAATAGAAAGAGGGCTAATTTATATATTGTACCTCATGTTGGACTGATGTTGGTGTGAGTAAAATAAAAATGATGATGAACTAGTTTAAAGTCAGACGACACGTTCCTCAAATTTATGTTTTGTATCTCTAGGTATTATGTATATGTAAAATATTCATATTTGTCATTCTCTTCTGATTTCTACATTGTTTTCGAAATGTTTTTAGCTCACCTGAGCTGAGAGCTCAAGTGAGCTTTTCTGATCACCCGTTGTCCGTCGTCTCCGTCCGTCTGTCTGTCTGTCTGTCCGTCCGTCTGGAAACTTTTCACATTTTCAACTTCTTCTCAAGAACCACTGGGCCAATTTTGACCAAACTTGGTACAAAGCATCCTTTGATGAAGGGAAATTTAAATTGTTAAAATCAAGGGCCAAGTTCCCTTCCAAGGGGAGATAATCAATAATTTACAAAAATAGGGTGGGGTCATTAAAAAATCTTCTTCTCAAGAACCACTGGGCCAGAAAAGCTGAAACTAATGTGGAAGCATCCTGGGGTATTGTAGATTCTAAATTGTTCAAATCATGACCCCCGGGGGTAGGGAATCCAAGTTTTACATAGAAATATATAGGAAAAATCTTTAAAAATCTTCTTCTCAAGAACCACTGGGCCAGAAAAGCTGAAACTAATGTGGAAGCATCCTGGGGTATTGTAGATTCTAAATTGTTCAAATCATGACCCCCGGGGGTAGGGCGGGGCCACAATAAGGAATCCAAGTTTTGCATAGAAATATATAGGAAAAACTTTAAAAATCAGCTTCTCAAGAACCACTGGGCCAGAAAAGCTGAAACTTATGTGAAAAGATCCTTGGGTAGTGTAGATTCTGAATTGTTCAAACCATGACCCCCTGGGGTAGGGCGGGGCCAAAAAAGGGAATCCAGGTTTTACATTGAAATATATATGGAAAAATCTTTGAAAATCTTCTTCTCAAGATCCATTGGACCAGAAAAGCTGAAACTTTGGGGTAGTGTAGATTCTAAATTGTCCAAATCATGACCCCTGGGGTAGGGCGTGGTCACAATTTGTATTACAAATGGGGGGGATCTGTTAAAGAACAGCCTGGCCAAAGTTTCTCAGGTGAGCGATGTGGCCCATGGGCCTCTTGTTAGATATAGGAATGCCCATTAGGGTTATTAATGAATATCTTTTAGGGTCAGTTCAAGTTTAGACATTCATTTATATATAGCTCTTCAAGATTTTTGTTTTAGGCACCAGTATAGATACTGAGGTCTTAGCTGTCTTGCAATATTAATTCTTAATAAGGACAGCAGGAGAATATATCATCGGTTCAATACCAAAGGTTTCAGTCATTCATTCTTGACAGACATGGTATCATTTTTTAAAGTGCATGGTCTGGGATAGGCATAAAAAACTGCAAGAAAAAAAAGGATGGGGTGGGAAATTCTCCAAACTCGCGGGGGGGGGGGGAACATCGGGTTATGTTGAGAAAAAAATTGGGTGGGAATGTCATCCCCCCTACCCAACCCAAACCGGATGCTACATGCCTGATTGATATGGTTTTACTTTAAAATTATGTGAGCTGTCATAGTGACTCTCTTTCATAAACTATAATTATTGTGAGCAAGCTCATAAAAAAATGCTATTGCATTAAATGTTTTTATTTCAAAAAAGGTCCAAATATTAATTTAAAACCTTTTTAAAATTTTGCTTGTGCAGATATACATACCAAAAATGACTATAACATACATGTATACTCAAGTCATACATGTAGGTAGTAAAACCATTGTGTTGAGCACAAACTTTCAATAAATATGTAAATGTGCCAAACTCATATAGTACACTTTTACTGCAATGACCTTGAAAAAGCTATGTCCTTGAGTCAAGGTCAAACATGTCCAAATGAACTTCAAGATCATGACAAACCTACAGCTCAAAAATAATATCCGAGATGAAACTTCAAGTCTTTTCATTAGAATGTTACAGAATGGGTAAAGATTGCACTATTCTTCTACCAATGACCTTGAACTTGTTTAAATGACCTTGGGTAAAGTTTTTGACACATCTCTAGATCACAAGCAATCTTAATATCAAGTATGAACTTTCAGTGGAACTTCATTGAAATGTTATGGACAAGGCAAAATTTTACATACATATGGATTGGTGAACAAGGTGATTCCTACCCCCCCCCCCCTTTCCAAGTTTCGTTTATGAGGAATGTAAAATTCCTTTTGAAATTAAATATGCATTTATTTATCAACAATAGTAAAATTATGAGTATGCTTTGATCAGAACAAATATGACCAATATAATGGACACTGTACATGTATTCAAATTACCCCCGTCCCTTCAAAAAAGCTTATAAATGCCAGATTGTCACACATTTTAACCATTTGTAACTTTTTTCTACTAAAGTTGCC